CGGGGGGGAGGGTTAAGGCCTAGGCTCATTGCATAAAGAAAAAGATAATGTTACAAAAAGTAAAAATAGAATAATAAATGGAGTTGCTTGAGCTACATCAAATAGGAGTCTAGTTCACTAAAAAAATGAACAAAAGAATCACAATACAAATGATAGGCAAAACTAATAAAGTAGGAATACAAGAGTAAAGTTGAAAAAAATAAATAAAGTCAAAGCCATTATGCCTTTAACTCAGAATTTATAAGAAAAGATCATTAGTGTATGTATGGAGAGGAGGGGCAAATCCCCTATTTGCTACACTGGTCGTCAAAGGGGAGTAGGTATGGAATCATGGAATTATAATCATCGTTTAAGACATGTCGAGTTCCCACCATACCATGAAAAATGCAGGACCAAAGTAACACATTCAGAGAGAAAATGTGTCCCGAGTAGCACAACAACATCATCAAATATAAATAAATTTATATCAATATCAAAGATGGAATCAGCAAAAGTACACCATTGCCCAATATTACTAGCTTCAATACTAACAAGTGCGTATACACACTGCAAAATACTACACCCATTGCAATATATAGGGAACAATAGTAATGCAATTAACATTATATTGAAAACATATAACTCACTATAACAACTACAATCATAACACTCATATAGTAGAACCAACAAGTACGTCTCAATAACACAATAGAATGTGACCCAAGAAGAGTTGCGAAGTGATGTAAGCCTCATATAAATCCAACCAAATAACATCATAAAATTTAATAGTATAGCAAGGACTTGAGGTTGTCCTAGTCTTTCCATTTTGAAACTTTAAGGTAAACAACTATTCTGATTTTGTAGCATTTAGTGGATAGGTTGCCTTAGAAAGAGCTAAATTTTATATCATTTCTCTCCCTCCAAAAGATAATAAACAGTGCATAAAATAATGAGGAAGAAGTTTTTGACATTATAAATAGAACTTCACATGTCAAAGGCACATTCAAATATATGTAAAAGGCTAGGTCTGAGCATAAAAATATTTAGTTTAAGAATGGGCTCAAATAAAATATAAAATAAGTAGTTGCACTTAAAAAATAATTTGGATATGGATTTAGTGACTGAGTGACAACTCAACCGTTTTAAGCCTTGCCCCAACCCCAAAACCCATGAATATGCAGAATATCTCAGAGCGTGGTGTTTATATCATATATAAGGATGTCATATGACATTAGAAGCTATATAGAAGCTAAGCATATAAGATTGAAATTATTCCTTATCTGAGTTCCCCATATATAATCATTTGGAGTGTTTATAAAGAATGGGGATTGATGAAATAGCATTTGGAGTGTTTACACTATTTGCAATTGTTTGTATACTTTTCCCAAAAAAAAAATTATAGGACTTTATAGGTGTTGTGTTCCATGGGGAAATATATTTTGTTTTAAGGCACAAGGATGTAGGGTTATTCTTGTTATACAACCTATTGATGAAAGAACAATTGTTCGCATGATATAGTGTTGATTTAGGGGATACCCAAACCACCAAACTTCTTAGATTTGTAGGTGCTTTTCCAAGAGATCATGTGCAATTTCTTTACTTTGAAATCTCCAAAATTGAGGAATTTAGCACAAATTTAACCAAAAAACTTACAATGAGTTTTAGGTTTAATAACACCACGTATATAGAATGCTACTTTATTCCATATAGTGAACTTGATAAGTTGAAGGCGTCCAGCAAAGAAAGAAGCTTGGCCTTACATCCTTCCAAAATGTTGAGTAGTCTTCTGCATCAGAGGATGTAAGTATGTTAGGTCAGCTCTTTTAGTGAATATGGGGATGCCTAAATAAGTGTGTTTATTGCATATATTATTGTTATTAAGAGCAACAAATTTGCCACTAGGGTAGGGAGTGTTGATAGACATAGTGAGAGAGCTGTAAGCGTGATTGATATTAAGCACATAGACATTTGCAAAGGTGCATAGAATATTACTAAGAGCATCACAATTGTGTTAGGAAGCCTTATCAAACACAAGAATATCATCTGTATACATTATGCGGGACAAATGTTTGACTTTAGTAGTAATCCCAACAAAATTTATGTTAGCAGCAAGTGAACCAACGAGGCCAGAGAAAACATCCATGGCAATACATAAGAGGCAGGGGTTGAGGGGGCATCCTTGTCTAAAGCTAGATGATGAATTAAAGAACCCCTCGAGGCCACCAATGATTCAAATAGTGTTACATCCCAGGATTTAAAGCAAATGAATTTGCTCTTCATTATATTTTCAACTCATTCTATGCATTTTTCTTTAGTTAGTAACCAATTATCGATCATTTTCAACCAGCTCAATTTGACATCTAGAGCTAATTAATCATATAAAAAAACCAATAACAACAAGAAAAACATAATTATATTACTACTATTAATATTTACATGTTACATTCATAATCCTAAAACCATATGTATAATAGTTACAATGGCTACAAAAGAATACATATAATTGGAAAATTTAAAATAAAACTAAAATATGTTATTACCTAGCCTCCTGCTACAGTGCCCTTATCTTTACCTGAAATAATGTAAAATCACATAATAAGTATAAAAGCACAATAAATAATTAAAATCTTACAACTTAAATTAATACAAAGCAAAAGAGAAATAATGTGTCATAAATCCTATAAGAAAATCAATGCATCTATATATGCCATATATATGTGACAATTATTGTAATCAATCAATCATTCTATTACATATCACAATTAGTTCTATCAATCAATCAATTATATTGGCTTTATCATTCAACCAGCTTCATTTATTCATATCACTTAATCATTATTGTTAGTAGGGTTAGTATTCAATAATAATAAGTAGTAACAACAATTGGTGTCAATAACAATAGTCAATATTGATATTAGTAATTAGTATTAGAAATAATATCAATATCCTCTATATTAGATATTCATATAAGGGTATATTGATCTTGTTCATGCACTTATGACTCCTAATCAATCACCTTTGTAACTCCCAATTAGTGAACTCCCTATAACTCCCCTTCATTGAATCATGTGACAGTCGCCCCGACTCCTTAGAACTCCTAATCAGTCACCTACTCCTTATGGATCACATTAGTGAATAAGTGAATCTTGAAGGTATTACGTGGGGTTATTATACCATATATATATGATATTAATCAATCATATCAGTATCACTTTCTTTTCAACCAAATCAGTATCACATTCCATTACATATCAGTCCATTTTTAGTACTATCATATGAAATCGCATTATATCACTTTCAACCCATTTTTAATATATATTTTTCCTACTCATTTCACTCTTAACATTCATACACACATTTCTAACTAATAAAAAATGCAATAAAATTATATCATATATTCATATTATTCAGCATGATCAAATATATAATATATCAAAAGTTATATATTAAAAGCTCACGAAATCATGAGATAATACATTTTTGATAGATTTATTAGAGATAAAATTATATAAATCAAAATCATAGAAAATAAATGCAAAAGGATAGTTACTTATAAAGATCATAACACTTCTATTGAGAAGCTTTGTATTACTTCCCTTTGAGCTATTAAGATTTCGTTTGTGGCGATTTTCTTACTGCTTTTTAAAGTAGTTTCATAGTACAAAAAATTTTAATTCAAACATTTTTTTTACTAAAAAGTCGCTTTAGAAAGTAATAATAAAGCTGTCTCAAACGAAACTTAAATCAATCCTACCCTCTTAAAATGGTGGTAGGCCATACTACAAAACCAGTCAAATTATTGTGCAATATCTCATTCTACATGCTCTTCTATTCCTCACTTTCGACTGTCGAACTTCCCCCACCATTAAAAAGTAAACCAGCCAAGCAAATGCTCAACACTTCAACCACTTCCTTCAAATCAAACCAATCGTCAACTTTTCCTTGATGAACCAACTAAAACTTGGAATAAACCTCTATATCAACTCTACAATGAGTTTCCTTTATTTTTGACAAACATTTTTAAATATAATAAAATTGAACAAAAAATAACAAATAAATATAACTAACATATAATAACATTGTCATTTTAAAAACAAAGACATCAAAATATTTGTGAAACACTTATGATTGTTTGTTTATTATTATTTTTAGAATTATATTATCAAATTATTTAAAATAAGCAATGTTCTTATTCTTTAAAATTGTAAATTACAGGAAGCTTTATTCTCTAAACAATATGAATCTTTATATAAAATAGTATCAACTTTTTAATGAAGCTTTAATGGTAAAATATCATTTATATTTCGCATGAGACAAATATCTCATGTCATACAGTCAATACTATTATTATATTTTAAATTATAATTTAATATTAGAGAAATTTATATTTAAATATCTAACACCTAATTTTTTACATTTATTTATATTACATTCTAACATCCCAATCACATCAAAATATACATATGAAAGAGTACATTTGGTTTTATAAAAGTTAAATTTAAGGTATTAAATATATAGATATATAGAAAAAATATGCTGTGTTTGTAAATCTCCTTAATTTAAGAAAGAAAAGTAAGATCTACAGAAAGAATTATGCCAAAAATGAAGGAAAAAAATATTTTCAATGATTAAAATGAAATTATAAGCCACACAAACATAGATATTGAATAAATTTGCATTTACTTCCAAGCACATAGAATACTCAACATCTGAAAAATGTTAAAACAATATAGAGGCAAACACTGAACTCCACCAAAAGTTTAACGGAATGAAACGATAGTTATATAAGGATCAAGTTGTCAAAGACATGTAAACAGTGTAGCAGTCACAGAGAAGAACCCGTACAAACACATATAGCCTCCCAGTTCAATCTGTCTGCAAATGTAGAAATCTCAAGAAGAACCATCAGAATTTTTTGGCTCTTCAGGCTTTTTGATCGGAACTTCTCCTCCCATCTCAGTCTTCAAGTCGTTGATGCTCTGCTCCAGCTCGTCAATGCGGCTTCCCATTTCATCTAGTGTGTGATGTTAAAGAAAACAGAGTTTGAAGAAAATAAATATGGAATATTGAAGTACTACACTAAATGTTGGGAAAGAAATTATAGGAGAGAAGATAGTCATAAAGAAAATTTTGCCAAATATCTCAGCACAAACAGTTTTACAGTTGAAGTTTTGATATGGGGGAGAAGTATTAGTAGTGGCAATGATATTTTCTGTTCGGGCATGATTGTTCCCTTTCACAAATTTCATTGAATTTTCTAGTAATCTATGGTGTAATGCTATATTATTTAAATGTCATTTATTTGACTCTCTAACATCTTCAAACTATAAAAACTTCTTCTTCGTTTGTAACGACTTTCTTATTGCTTTTTAAAGCAACTTTCTAGTATAAAAAATTTATTTTTTAACTAGAAAGTTGTTTTAAGAAGTAGTAAGAAAGTTGTCTTAAACGAAGCCTTAGATATTAGTTTAATTAAAGATGACTTTTAGGCTTCGTTTGGGACCGTTTTTTTATTGCTTCTTAAAGCAGCATTATAATACAAAAATTTTAATTTTAATATTGGTTAGAAAATATTAAAAATGATATTTCTTTACTAGATTTAAATGAGAATTTGACTTTTAACAGAACACAATGACGAAAAAGGATTCATGTAGCCGACCCCACTTAGTGGGACAAATGCTTGATGTTGTTGTTGAACTAGAAAGCTATTTTAAGGAGGAAAAAAGGCGTCCCAAACAAAGCCTTAATTAGTCAGCAAGTAGACTGTCAGCCACATGGAACGCCAAAGGAAACAAGAAAAGAAAATAGGCTCAATTCATTATTGCTCATTACAATAATATAAGCCAACTTGTAAAAAGATTTGAAATAGCCAGAAAGGATATTCTTGCCGATAATGCTTTCAGACATTGTCTGGAACCTGGTTTGCTGTGAATATCCTTCAAGTCAGTACCAAGCAAATATAGCTTATATTAATATTTTTCAAGTAAGATCTTCAAACAAGTAATAGGGAACTCACCATCTGAACAAGGAGATTTTGTACCTGAAAATTTTTGGATTAGAAGATAGTTAAAATGGAAACATTCCCCAGCACTACAAAATAGATTATGATAACAGCAAAAAGGAAGTTGAAGTATCATATTTCGTAGAAATAGAGGACACAAGGAAAAGATCGAGTACATTCACATTTGAATGAGATTATACAATCGGAATCCCTGCTTGGTAATGTTATTTTACATTCATAAAATTTAAAAAGAATAAATATTACGAGTTTTGCAGCCATTTTAAACATAGAAAAAGCAAGGAATAACTCACAAAGGCTGTCATATCGGCAGGGTTCTTCATCAACTCGTCTGATTCATGTTCACCCTGTCAGCAATACAATAAGTTAAATCCATGAAAGTGGGTGAAAAAAGATTTCGGATAATGAAAACATGCTAAATAAACTGAAAGAAAGGAGCAAAAGTAGAGATTTTTGGATAGCCAATAAAAAATGGGAGAGGTGGTTAAATTCATTTATCGAATTGAAAAAAAGAGGTATAGAAAATATAAGTTAGAACAGGACAAGATCAGTTTCCACTGGTTTTTGTTCTATTTCAGTAGAAAGATCACCGTATAACTGAAATTTTCCAAGTTATGACTACATGAGAAAATCATCTGACCGGTAAACAAGACAAATAGCAGCTGCTTACCAGTTATCCGATTCACACCAACTAAATACTATTGCACACAGTTTGCACTCCCAATCCTAAAAATTATCCCTTTTTTAAATCCAACTAATACTTTACTGTAGACAAACCAAAATCACTTGCCCTTCATCTTTTTTTATGCACCACTTCTCCAATTCCCACGATGCGAGCATCAGATCAACTCAGTGGTTTTCTTCGGGTGGTACATCAGTTGCCGCCAACGATAGGGTGAGGATGGTTGTGAAGACGTTGATGGTTGTGGTGGAGCAATGGGGAAGCTGCATTACCCACACGGTGAAGCAAATGTTGCAAGACAGGGCGTGAATCTAATGGCGTAGGATGTCACAATCAATGCAACAGAGGTGGCACTGAGGTCGAAGCTCTCCAAGATGCTAAATGCCGGTTACGAAGGACCAGAATGGCCAGCCACTATGATTATTATATTAATCCTATTTTAACTCCTATAAGCTATGATATTGATCATTATGTCAAATATCATATTTATGTTAGATCTTTAAATCTTTACATTATTGAAATGCTAAACAATCCCCATGCATATTGGCATATTTCTTCCTTACCTATTGTGATTTCTAATAGTCAGAATTGTGATATAGCATTGTGTTGTGTATCTCTATGTATACTCATCCCCATTAATTGATGACTATATTTTAGGAAGTTCTTCTATGAAGTAGACAAGTCATAAAAAAGATTGTCAATAACAACCGTCAAGTACCTTCGGTTAGATGTCTATGTAAACATGATAGATGTATTGTATAGTTTTAGACCGTTACGATTTAGATGTGCTTTTTTGTTCTGGTAGATTCATAGTATTGTGATGTCTACCTGGGTGGATTTTGACATGATAATCACGTGAAAATGCAATGGGATTTTATATACATATACATAATTTGATATCTTTTAATTATTTTGATGAAAAGATCAAGGTTTAGTAACTATTTTATACTTTGGATGATTTCTTTGAATGGCTATATACTGGTATACATTGTTTTGTGAAATGCTTGTACAGTAACATATGTGTAAAGCAATGAATTGCTCGTGTAACTGCTCTGACGTTATGCATGGAAATTTTTTTATGTGAAACGACCAGGAATTATGAGAAAATAATAAACTTTTGTTAGCTCGTTACTTTACGGTTAATGAATTGCAAGAAATAATTTAAAGAACTATCCCTGAAGTCTTGTTCTAGTAAGCAGTTGCAATTTAGAAGGAAAAGTAAATTTAAAACAAAATTGGCAAATTCAGTAAAGTCCAATGCACTCGTAATAATAATCCATAGGTTAATATCAAGAGCTTTCACCTCGAGTTCCCTTTTCTCTCACTCACGCTCTAGGGGAATTATTCAACGAAGAGAGATATTTAGCAAACCAAGCGATGCCACTAAGAGGATGATGACGTCGATGATCTTGATTCACGGGAGAGTAGCCGGAGATGGAGGTATGGGTGGATGTGCCATGAGTTGCCCTTGGGAATTGCAAACGAATCCGTGGACGATTTCCGAATCGGCCAAGCACTAACGGCAGAGGAAGGAGAGGAATTGTCTTGTCTTCTTTGCTTTAGGATTCATGCAGGCTTGAAGCTTCCAAGTGAGGCATGGGGAGGGGAAGTGGGCGGCCAAAGAGAGGGGAGATAGAGGCTTGTGGGATAAATTAGGTTTAGGGTTTGGATGAAGTAAAGGAGAATAAATCTGAAATTAGTTTCAGGTTTAAGTGATTTTGGAGGGATTTGAATTTGATAATTTGATTTCAAATTCAAATAGGATGTAGGGATTAAAGAGGAAATTCAAGGGAGGAGCCCATTAATGGGGACGACGGCATTAAGAGGGAGAGGGAGGGATTTGGGGAGAGATCTTGAAACTTCCAAATCAACTTATGCGATTTAGGAAAGAGAATAATAACTCAAATCTAATTTGAATTTAAATAGGCTTGGAGTTATGCACTTTCCTAATTTAGAGTTGGCAAATTAAGAAAGTATTTGATATTTGAATTTCAAATAAAATTTACTTCCTTTCCTTTCATACTTGGAGTCAATTTAGGCAAGAAATTATGAGGTTTGAAATCTTCATAATGGAAGGGAGCAAGGGGGTGGCCGGCGGCAATGGGGAAGAGGAGGGTGGCGTCGGGTATGAGGAGGTAGGGGGTTGGACTGCCGGTTGGAGGGGGTTTTGGAGGTGGAATTGAGTAAGGGTGGAGGAACGGTGGTGGGTCGTCGAGTGTGGAGATGAAAGAGGGGAAAAGGATAAAGGCCACGAGCCACGGACTCCTCTGATGACTGATGGGTATTGCGCTCGCCCGCACCTCGGGATCTCTCTTCTCTCTTGAGCACACACAAAAAAAAGAAGAAGACAAAATCAGATTTTCATTCAAATATTCATTGAAAAACTAATACAAAGACTCCGACCACTATATATAGGTCTCGATAATAAAGAAGAAACAAAGACTCATATGCCATTTGGGCTACAACTCACTAAACTCCCTCGTAGGGGTACAAAGGTCAACTGAAACAAAATAATAGAAATAAATTAATACAATAACAAAAAGAACTCATAAATAGTTGCTCTTGATCGTGGTCGTTGATTTGCGATGTCTGCTGTGATAAATGCGCTGGAATCGACGACTGATTTCCTTATCATTTCTGGTAATGGTAGATTAGAAGGAATGGATGATTCAAACCCATTGTAGTCATGATCGTTCATTCTTGCCTCTATTCATCTAAACCCTCTAATAGAATTGTCATATAAAACATGGCGAACAACTCTTAAATCTCATTATCGATAGCAAAAGCTGCATAAATATTATTGCTAAGTTGATTGAACACATGAGTTTGAAAGTTGAACCGCACCCAAAACCTTAGAAAATAGCTTGGGTGGATGATAGCTATAATTTCTCTAAATCAAAGATGCTTTGAAACTGTTCAACTTACTATATATAGTGAAGTTTCATGAGATGCATCTAACGCAAGGATTGGAGGAGTTTTGAGTCAAGATGGGCATTCCATTGCTTATTTTGTGAAAAATTAAATGGGGCAAAAAAATTAATCCAATTATGATAGAAATTTATGAAATTGTCCGGTCATTTTTCATATTAGAGGCATTACTCACTGCCCAAGGAATTTGTTTAATATTATAATCATCAAGCTTTAAAATATCTAAGCACTTGAGCAAAATTAGAACAGATGCATGTTCAATGGGTTGAATTCTTAAAAGAATATATATTTGTACAAAAATAGTATTAGAACTAAAAAAAGTTTTTGTTATTTAACTGAACATACAAGATGCCTATTGGTGGCAATGTGGCATTAAAGAATATTATTTCAATTGTAAGGATCATAATCAGAGATGTATTAATTTAACCAGTGTCTCAACTATGCTTAGTTTCGCGGTTAAGGATGGATTTCTTATTAAGAGAACTTAATTGTATTCTTAACTCAACTTTAAGAGCTTCTATGGTCTTAAAGTTAGATGGTAGTGGTGTTGCAGGCATTTGGTCGAGATAACAGTATAGTCATAACTGAAGATAAGTGTTAATAGTGTAACTTGAAAAGAGAAGTTGAACACATTGTTTCAAAAAGCAGAACTTGTCAAACAGCTAAAAGAAGAAGAAGCCTAATATTTTACTTTATAAGCCATTCTCTAATCCATATAAAGCATGAGAATATGTTATTATTAATTTTGTTTAAGGATTACCACAATTTTAAAGAAATATGATTCTATCTTTGTAGGGCTTGATTGCTTTTCAGAAATAGCTTATTTCATCTAAGTTTTAAAATTGCTGATGCATCTCACATGTCAAAATTATATTTTAATAAAGCGATTAAATTGTATGGATTACAAAAAATCATTATATTTAATAGGAATGTATAAGTCATGAGTTTATCTTTAAAATTTTGTGGAAGAAAATGAGAGCCTAATTAAAATTTCAACTGCCTATCAACAATAAATTGATGGACAAACTAAGATAGTTAATAAGAGTCTAGGTGATCTATTATGTTGTCTTAGCAAAGAACAAGCATCTAATTTAGATTTGATGCTACATATGATTGAGTTTGCATGCAATTTATTTGTTAATAAGTCTAGAAGCATGAGTCCATATGAAGCTTTCATAGGATATCAACCTAGAAAAATTATTGATCTTGTTGAACTTCTTATTGAGTCCAAACCAAGCGAAGTTGTACAATCATTTACATAGGATATATATGATCTGCTTGAGGATATTCACAGTTAATTAATTGTCAGTTATGATGATTAAGTATGTGAACAAAAAGATATGTATTGGAATTCAAACCACATGATAAGGTAATTGTGTACCTGAATTTTGCAAGATCTTCTACAAAGGCCTCTAAAAATTAAATGCAAGAAAGGAGAAGCCGCATAAAATTTTATAGAGCATTGGGAAAAATGCTTCAAAATTGGAGAACCGGGAAACACTAGTTTCAATCCAATCTTCGTTGACTTTGGTTTGACTTTATTTCATGAATATATAACCAATATTGTGGATTAATCTCTCTTTCTATCCTCTCATGCAAATTCACATCTGATATGTTATTAAATAGATCCACTCAATTTACTTCTAAAGCTACTATAAATATAATGAGAGAGTGCCCACTATTAGTGGTGGATATCAAAAGTACCTTACACATTAGTATGAAAGACCTACTTGTGAATGATTCATGAATTACTTCGTAAAAAAAACAACAAATATACTCAGCTTTCATAAATATCAAATGCTCAATTCAATATAGCCAAATTTAATAGTCATGCATATATGATGCACAAAAGCAACCATTGAAAAGTGAACTAAAATTTTAGTGCATAGTTCTAGATGTAATTTTTTCAAGTGTTTCACAAGTCTAGATGTCTACTTTTAGGGGATGAATATCCTTGTAATCCTAACCCACTTACCGATTTTATCATTATTATATCTAATGAACTGTTTTAGCAATTGATAAGTGTGATTGAAGGTTTTTTAAGTTTGATACATGCCAGCCTTTATTTTTTATGTGTGAATCTTGATTGCTATAGAATTTTATATTTGTTATCAGTTTCATATAGAACTTTAGATTGGCGACATTCGACCTATCATTGGAGATAAATTAAATATATATTTTTATTTTGCATCAAAAGTAACTAATTTTTACTTAAATTTAAAGTTAAAACACTAAGACTTGCAGACTTTTGTGTGTTTCTTTGCCCATCTCATCCATTATTTACATTCGTACATTCTAGACCCAAAGATATCCATTATTAGTTACCCACTTTTTCCCTTTTCCTGAAAGATGAAGCATGTTAGTTTTTTTTTCTATTTACAGTATGTAAGGCAATGCAAAAAAAAAAAAGAAAAAAAAAGAGCTTCACAGAAAGATGGTCCCCGCCTTTTTTCTTTTCTTTTCATTAGAAAGCAAGTTAATTTTTACCATATAAATAAGTATACGCACCATTGCAAAAAAACTGATCTCCAAGCATCTAACGCTTTAAAATAGAAAGTGCACTAATGCTAAAAAGGGGGCAGAATTGAAAAGAAAGTTAGTCACTGGGAGTCCCTTGATGTTTGAGCAGATATTGGTATGATATCAACCTTTTAAAGGTATTTCCCTTCAAATTATTGGAACTATGATTTTCCTAAACTTCCCCATGTTATGAATCAGTTTCATAACAATTAAAGATTCACAAATTATACTAGAAACCCAACATAGTTCAAAATATAATGAGACATCCATGATGCAAAGGCTTCCCTCCCACATTACAAACATACAATGCAACCAATCATCTAATGTAGAGTCAGGCGTTGTGAAATCCTAGCCGCGAGTTGCTGGAGATAAATAAAAATGTGAAGGTTTGAAGACCGGGGCATTGAGTACGAGCGATTGATAAAGGATTGTGGAGAGGATATAAGAATTTTTGTAATAATTGTTAATTTGAAATACCATAAATTATACTAAAAAAATTCATAAAATATTTAAGACAAGCGTGTCTAACAAGTATGTCCAATTTAGTTTTAGTAATTTTTTAATCAAGTACATCTTTGGTGTGTCCGACATATGTTGGAGGCATGTGATGCATGTCAAACGCATATCGTGTCTGATACAGGTCAAACACTACACACCTCTTTGAGCATAAGTGTTGGTGCATCATAGATTAGCATGTGTGCAAGAACACAATAAATGCTTTAAAATGCAACTTTTAGTAATATACATTTTGCAAAACATATTACATTCAAGCCTCATTGTCATTTTAAATTGTCAACATGGCATGAGGAAAATATTTCAAATATAAATTACATTAAAAATGAGTTTACAACCAAGATAAATAATAGAATTAATTTTTAAGCTAGCCATAATTCTTAAGAAACACTAAAATTACCTGGTCTGTATAAAAATTTCAAGATTTGTTGCTGCAACATGCAGTGTAGCTCTTAATTAGACAAAAATTAATCCAATAAACCACACTGACAATTCTAGAAAGAAACTGGTTGAATCTTTCTAAGCATCATTAGATGATCTAAATTCCTTCACTAATCTACTTAATTCTCAGCAAAGCAGCACATCCTGACAACATCTAGAGGTAGCTTTTTGGAACATCTAAAATACTTTTAAGGAAAAATCAAAACAAATTTTGAACATCTTAAGTATGCTAATGAAAAATCATTACATTGACTTTAATTAATATGATTATGAAGGCATTGCATAATGGAAAGAACCTAAACCTTTCATTAATATCAAGTATAGGGTAAGATTAACTTCTAATTTGTAAATTATGAAAATGATATAATCTCAGATGCAAATAAAAGCACACCCCCCCTGCATATCAAAAGCATTGTAGGTCAAACAAAAATGAGAAAATAATAGAGAGAAAAAAGTTGCTCTTTCACCATGGTATGGCATTACAAAAAGAACTCATATATGTTCCAAGATTATAAGGTAAGAAATAGCATTTAGGAGAATATATAAGTAAGACTATATCATGATTCGGGAGTTAAAAGTCTCATGTATTTGTTCTAGAGCTAAAAGGTATGATTTTAGATCAAATGGATGAGAAACATTACCTTTTTGTATTGTGAAATCAGGGAGCATCAGAAGACAATCAAAAGCAAAACTAAAGATTGCAAATTTTCAAAACGCACCTTTTGACTGAAGTGCGTATATAATCTTACCCTTGTTTTGAATGTAACAAAAAGTTGTTTGTGTCAAAAGATTTGTTATATATTTTTGAAGCAATATAGATAGAAAATAAATAAAAAGGTCTGAAAAATCTTGTGTTATTGCAAAGTTCACCAAAACATCCTTTCCTCTGCTGCTTCGTATTCATGGATAATCTCTTAAAATTGCTACATTAACTTGACAGGAAGAGACCATACCCTTAATACACCAGATCTATAAAAGGAACAAAGTCAATTGAAGAGGAACAGTAGCTCGCATCAATTGCTACAAGGGTTTCGCCAGCATGAAGCGGCGCTTCAAATATACAATGGTGAGATTCGGAATAGGGTTCAAATGAAACTGACCTTAGAAGCCGGGGAGTTGGGAGTTGCGGCCATTGCGAAAGCAGAGAAACCTGGACTGATCTCTGAGAAATAAATAAGACTTGTATCCGATATCCGAAGCGGGAAACCAATTCAACTATATGTAGTGGTTGCGTCCCGGCGGTATCCCTTCGACAAGGAAAAGAGGGGAACAAATGACAGTACCTATATATTTCGGGGATTTCCAAAAATCGTCGTCAGAGCGTAATGGTTGGTCGGCCCACTTGTTCGGCCGACCAGATTAAAAAAAAAAAATCCACTCGTTTGAGTTGCAAGCAAAACAAAATAATTTTTTTTTCAGTGAGAATATAAATAAATAATTTTAAAATCTATTCAAATTTTTATCCATATTTGAGGCCAATATTGTTGATTTTGAATATTATTTTTCTCTCATTTATGTCATATAAAATTTATTCTCTTGAATTTTCAAAATTTAAAATTATTTTATTATAAATATTATTAAATTTTGTTTTTCTAATTCTCGCATTTTAATTTACATTATTTATATTTTGCATCAAATTTTAATTATGTTAATATAAATAGAATTAATATCTTTAAATAACTATATATATATATAAAAACAAATTTTTATATATTTTATTTTAATAGGAAGATACAGCTTTTTAATATATTTATTGTTCTTTATAAACATTTTTTAATTATTTTTTATTTAAATTATATATGAAAACCTTAAGTTAGATATTTAAAAAAAATTAAAACCCTAATATTAATTTCAAGCTCGAATGAAAAACCTTAACGATGTTTTTCGAATAAGAAATTTGTGCCCCTTAGATAAATAATCTTGGCTAAGGTATTTACATAACTAACATCCAAAAATTTAATATTATATACATATCATCATAAATTATTTTAATATCAAATATATCACTCATATTTCCTTATTATCATTCATATATTTTATTTCTGACACTCATATTTGATATGAAAATGAATTATGGATGGTATGAATGTAATTTTAAAATTATAAATATTAAATATGTAAATATAATAATATAAAATATTATGTATGTAAATCTCCTTAAATTTATGTAGAAATATAAATAAATGAATTGGATAAATTTATAGATGAATCCAAATAAATGAATTTAACAATTACTACCAATATTTTAAGGGGTTTTCTTGTGCGAGGGGCGGGAGCAGCAAGGCACAGGGGAGCGAAATTCTGCAAGGGCGATAGCTCTTTCTGTCTTCCGTGCGGCTAAGAAGAACGGCATGAGGCGGGTGGCAGCGACGCTGTCAAGGCTCGCAGGGACAGGGGCGGCGGCGACTAACGCCGCCGGAAGGAGTTTGAACCCCTATTGCCGTTTTGCACCCCGCTTTCGTAAGCTTTGGCGTCTTCTAATGGCTACTCGATTCCCTGTTACTTTCTAGGTCATCTCAGTTCCAAGCTGCCGTTGTCCTTCCTTGCAGCGACGCTTGTCGAACAACAGAGGTATCGCGATTACAGCTCCGGAACGACATCCTCATCGTCGTGCTTCTCATCTTTGTTGCCGATTGTCTTCGCTGCTGGTGCGGTCGGAGTGGCCTCTGTGGATGCCTCATTTGCGGACTCTGGTGAGGTACTCGCCAGCCCAATGCAGAAAACTTTGGTTTGTTTGTTGCATTTTTTGGGTTCTTTGTTTAATCTTTATTTTGAATTCCTTGAAACGGAGAAGCTGGCGGCTGGAGAGAGGCAGAGGTTGGAGGAGTTGCTTAAGAGTAAAGGGATGCAGCGGGGTTCTTACCCACCCTTTAGTGTTGATGTCAGAGGGCCAAAGGTTTGATGGTTAATTATGTTAATCTTGGTTTAAAGTTGTTACCCGCCTGTTACTCATGTTGTTCCTTGTGTGGAATGAAATTATGAAAATATAATATACTTTAACAATTATGAATGAGTAGGATATTAATATGCTAGAGAAACTGAAAATTGTGTTGCATACAAATTGCTTCTTTACGCATCGAGCCCATTCACTTCAAATGGATTGATTGAATTGAAATGCAGATACCAATCATCGTTCTAAATGGATTCCAGAATTTGTACTGGATCTAGATAAGTTGATACTAATGCAGTGTGGAAATTGACGTATGATAAGAAATGCAATCTGTTTTTTGTAAGTTTTTGGATTTAAAAATTTGGATTGAGATCCCATATTTTGGTGGACTTGGAAAAGATTTCTTATTGGTAGTATCCAACCTATTTTTAGGTAGTATTCCTATGGTTACCTATTTAATGCTTGAAGCTTTCAATTCTAGTTTTAATCAGGCACTCGTGTGTTAATTGGCTGCCTATGTAACAAAAAATTGAACATGACATATGATGTGGGATGGATTGGTGTTAAGGTTTTTTAATGCAATTAGTAGGATGCATCATATACTCATATGAATTCATGCAAAATAAACTAAAGGATTTATAGTTCACAAGCCAAAAATTCATTCAACAACAATTGGTTCCCTTTACATATAAAATTACAATACTATAGTTATAACCCAAATGGTTACAAAATAATCTGAAGAAATAGAATTAAGAACAAGAAAACATGTATCAAAATAAGAAAAATCATACCTTTGGCTTGTATAAGGAGATGCTTCCCCTAGAATTAGGTTGTTGCATTTGTACCATGCTCGAATGAATCAATATAACTTGCACTCACATTATTGAAAATTGGGAAGAGAAATTTTTTGACTGAAGTTGTCTTATTAAGATGCCTCAATCTCTAGGTTAATATATATTATTGGTATATAATTAGTTTATCATTTTTAAATTAAATCTAGAATTCTAACCCTAATTAATGTGTTCCATAAATTATTATTAACAACCGTCAAACTGCATACTCAATAACCAATTGAAACTCCTTGAAATTTTTATCTATGGTCGAATTGTACATGCACGCCAAAGCCACCTTTGCACAAAGTTTGATTATTCAAAACTTGAATGGATTTAAAATTGTATCCATAACATAATCTTCAAGATGCATGTTTTTGAGATAGCCAAAAGAATTTTGAAAAAATCTTTAAGGCCAGGCTCAATAGAAAAAGTAAAGACCCCCGCATTGAGTACAACAAAAGGAAGATAAATCCAATTTCCACTACAAAAGGATAAAATTTAGGGTGTTAGTGTTGCACTGAACACGAAAATCCAATTCAAACATGACACGAAAAGTAGCTTACATGATTCCTTGTTTTATTTTTTATTCTTTTTTAGGCTCATTATATAGAGATAATGCTACCATAAATCAAGTTTAAAAATAAAACTTTTTCTAAATTGCTGAAGTATGTGTAGAACATAATGCTATTTAAAATAGTCTTATGAAGGTTTGCATATTTTTATAAGGATAAACAAACTACATTATCTATTTTGATTTTCACTGTTGGTAGGATATAATCTGTAGCCTCATATAAAGAATTTTGCGGCTCAAATCGGCTCTAAAGCTAATGAATTATTTAGTTACTGATTATTTTCCTTTAATGGCAACTATTAATATCACTTTAACCCATAGCATGTGAACTTTGGATAATTTTTTATGCTTTTTGTGTTTTTGGACTTTGGATAATTTTTTATGCTTTTAGTGTTTATTTCCACAAATTAATCAGTTACTTTGAAGCTTAATGTTTTTAAACAAAACTACTGAATAGAAGACCCATATTCTCGATGTGCTAGGTTGCTGTTAAATTCAAAGTTCCTCCATCATGTGATGTATCTCGCCTTATTGTGGATATTGTTTCTCTTCTGGGGCTGAAGGTCGAGCATCGGGGTGGTGGTTCAGAAATGATATTACATGCCTGGGACAGGTTTTTTTTCTTTGCCAGCTGATTCTTAAGCATTTTCATTTTGTAATAAAATAGGAATAGCAAGGATTTTCTAAATTTTAAGCCTTTTCCTTTGAATAGAAGATAATAAGGGAATCATCCATTGAAATTAAAATCTGTAGAGGGCAAGCCTTCCCCCATTTTTGAACTTTGCATGTGATTCTAGAGATTTAAGAGATTTTGTTAATAGATTAGTTGTGGAATCAAAAATAGGGATTCTAACTAAAAGTTTATTTGTGATTTGTGACAACCTGTGTTGCTGGAATCATGGATTTAAATGTCTCTTCAAGCTCAAGTTATTGATCACAGGCTTGCAGTGGTTAAGTTGTTCTAACATATTATAAACATTTCAGGTTTAAGTGGTCTCTTTGCAAATGCAGAGGTAAGGTTGCATTCATCAACTCCTTAGACCCTACACCAGCGGAAGCTCCATGCAGTGGCTATGCCCTTTCTATGTTCTTCTGTCTTAAGATATTCTATAGTTTACACGTGACTCCAATTTAGGCTTAACGTACATGGAGGAATTATGATAGAGTGACTCATTTTGTGCATTATTTTGGATGAGATAGATTCAAACCTTTTGTTCATCGAATGACTGTATTTAGGTGAGTTGAGTGGAGTAGAATTGGCATTTGTAAAAACTGTTCTGGGATAGACCTGAAACAAAATGTCAAATTTCTGTTTGGTTAATCAATATAGTTTGGAAGTCTGCAATTATTAAGCTTGTAGTTTGTACATGGGTTATTGTTATAAAGATACAATTTCAGTTCACCTCAATTACAGAAATTATTGTCTAAACTTAGTTTGTTTTGAATTGGGTAGAAATTAAATGAATGAATTGATGTTTGGCACTAAATATGAAGCATTAAAGTTTTTGGTGTAAATTTTGAACAAAGTTTGCAATTTTTAATCCCCCAATCTATGGAATGAATAATATATTCCCCTGGAAATTTTAGTTATACTTTTGTTTCCCTCAAGCTGATGGCTGAAATGAGATTTTGTTAAAGTAAGGCAGCTATAATACTTATCCCAAGGATTTCCTCGGGCTAAAATCTTTTTTTTTTTTTAAAATATTTTTTGAGGCTTTTAGAGAAAACAGTTGTTTCTTTCTAGTTTTTGAAGTTACAAACTAGATGTTACAGTAGATTTTTACGTGTCAGCTTAGCAATAGCAAATAGCCTATCATGTGTTGGGCACATCCACTATCCAATTTTTTGTTAACCCATGATAATCTTATCATATAAATTGCATCTTTACTGGGGACAAACATCAGTGTTTTCAGAACACGAAGTGCAATGTGATGTGCAAGAGTTCTTTTTTGTTTCAATGTGTAAAGTGCAAAGCGAGACATAGCTTTTATTTTATATATATATATATATATATATATTTAATACACATATGATAACCGCTTATAAAATTAAACTTAAAACACATCAAGTAATAATTTATAATAAATATAATGATACACTCAATAATAATTGTAAATAAGGATTATTTAAGAAATGATTTATAATTTGATACTAATTGAAATGAAATGCGATTATTAGTTAATTTGAAAATAAACTTCTAAGTGAACCTGTAAATTGATTTTTCAAACAATTTTTAGCCTGCATATGAATTGATAAAATATTAAAAGTAGCATAAATTTAGGAAATTCTAGATTGCATAAAAAATTATTTAATTTATAACAAATGCTAAAGTTAAATGCATAAACTCTCAAGTTTTATAGTTCAAGCTATTGTTTGGATTGATGCCAAAGAATCAGTAGTAAATAAAACTCGGCTAGCTAATTTTAAATTTTTATAGCTTTTCTCTCGCCACTTCAAATACTTTCATGCAATGGCATGTCCAAAATTTTTGTGGTAATTAGGGTTGATTGACTTCATCAATATATTGAACCACAAGTTTTAAACCGTCATGATTAGGTATTTTGGAACAATGATCATCTTAGCAATGATATTTTTAATCTTGTTATGATCATAAATAGTTGAGTCACATAAAAGAGATAATAATTTATTCTCTTCTATATCTTCAGCTATTAGATTAAAGAGTTTTTGTTTGTTCTCTCTGTATTTGCTTTGATGGAATGATTGGTTTTGAAATGTTTGCTCTTTTGAGATGTGATACTCACTTTTTGTTTAAGATATGTAGTAATTGTATTTCCTCTTTTTAATAGTCTTTCCTTTTTCAAATATAGAAATTTGATTGATATGCTGCCAAATTTTTAACTTTAATTTTTTATTTTTTTATCCTCAATGGCTGTAATTTCTCCCACACTTTTATTTGGAATTGCTGCATTGTCAGCTGGAGGTTGACTTGAACAACTATTGGATTGATTTTAAGAAATTGTGGCTATTATTTCTTGGAGAAAACGCTTCAACAAGTTAATAAAGGGCTAAAGATAGAAAGATTGATGCATAGCATATAAAACACAAAAAACATGTGCAACCTTAGTTCATAATACAAAATTCAATTATTTCCATATGATCCCATAACAAAGAGAAGAAAACGCAAATATCTCTAGATGAAACCAAGTCTAAAGCCATCATTCAACACTTGGGTCAGCAGTCTTGCCACCAACCAACACCAATGTCCAGCACCCCAAATTCATAGAAATTCATAATATCTGAAAGCTCACAAAATAGTGCAACCTCAACTCATAATGTGGCATTAACATTCCATTATTCCATATAATTGATTGAGGAAGAGAAGCAAAAATAGGAAATATAGCATTCTATGCAATTCTATCAAGAGCTAGGAGCTCTTAAAAAACTCATAATAGTCGAAACCAAATTTCTTACAAAATTCAGAATAAATTGTAAGTTCACAAATCACCGTAGCCAAAAGATCTAAATAAAATTAGTCTCAAATGATTTTCATAGACCAAATCACCCTATAAACTATATTAAGAAATAACTACTGCCTAGGTAATGCTAATGAAATGATTCATCCCAATAACAAAAATTAGGACAAATCGACAAATGCACAGATCCCATGGGAAAGTAAAGGAAAACAAGGAGAAGTGAAGACCGAGCTTGAGATTTGGGAGTTAAGAAAAATAATCCTTATGGAGTTACAAAGTATAGTTGATGAAGCTGAAGAGGAGGGGGAGGAAGATAAGCTGCAGCTTTGCCACCAGAGTAAAACAGGGGAGAGCGTGTTAGCGAATGAAAGTGGAGCTATATTTATCGAAGGACTTTATGGTTATCTTTTTAAGGAGCGACCAAATATTGAGATGTAAATAGATCATTGCCATCAAAACACCATCAAAGGACACATGATAATAGGAAGCACACAAAAAAAGGTTCAGTGGCGCTCACTTTCGTTGATGTTAGGGAGAGATGTAAGGCGCATTTCATGTTTACCATTAACTATTGTAACGATAGCATTTGATACTTTAACTTTTTCATGGATTTGATTTTATATTTCAATTACTAATTTTCTTTTCATCAGACTGATTATTGGGTAGAGTGAGTGCTGTCACTCAATTTTCACAACACAAATTGGTGTTTTTCTATATGATATTATTGCTGTAGTTTCCGTACTCCTTTAATAGCTCACTACAGAAGTGATTTGTAATTACAATTGTGGTTGATATGGATTTCATTATAATTTTCTATTTCAGTGCAGCTGCTTGGCAATTGACTTTAAGATCTCCTGAAAAGATGACCAGAAATGATGGAAAAGAATTTTATGATGAAACGAATAAACCTGAGGATGATTTCTGTGTGCTGATTTTTGAACCTCTTCTTGGCTCTGAGTATTGTGTAAGTTTCTTTGATGTAGGACTTATATGAAATATTGATTTAGATAAGGATTTTGCACGCTTATTGAGTAAGAGCTAATTAATTAAAGCTTTATGATGATTCAAACAATGAAATAAAACTAGAGAGTGGTAAACATAAGCTTAGGCCAAGTTTCTCGCGAAAAGTAAAAACCCCATAATAATCAATTACTCTTGATGTTGCATGCGAGATGGGTTTCAACAAGAAATCCCTAATCTAACAATAAGAGTAGTGCTATGAAAGATCTCTCAAACAATTCCTACTAAATACAAAGCTTTTAGCGGAGCTTGACAGGATTTTGCATGAATCAAATAAGACCACAAGCGAGGATCAACGAAGGAGGTAAGAGAGAAGGAAAGAGTTCACCCTTTGCTAAGATTCAACCTTCTCGCAAGCTTGGACAGCAGTTTGTGGCGTCTTGACGGCTCGGACGGTAACAAATTCACGCTCGAGCCTTTGGACAGCAAGTAGCCAACCTGGGACAGCGATTCAGGACAGTTCCGGGCAGCAACGGTAGCTCCCAGAGGGGCTGGACAACAACGAACTGCTGCGGGAATCTCTGGACAGCAGATAGGTGGTCTTGAGAAGATCCTGGACAGCAGTTTGACACTTGGAAAAAGCTGGACAGCAATTTCTAATGCTTAGAAAAACCTTGGATGGTTGCTAGATGATGCTGGGAACTTTTAGATGCTAATTCAGGAACTCCAATAGTGCAGGACAGCAGGATACTTCTTCTGATTTGTGTAGACAGCAATCCAAAAGTTCCAAAACGGGAGGGAAACGTCAGGGACAGCTGGGGAGTTAATTGGGGGAATTTATGAGTCCTTCCAAACTTGGGTTGCTAAAAGGGGAAAGAGGATTAGAGAGAAATCTCTAATCAATTTCAGATTTGAGAGGATTTGGGAGTTTTCAAAAATAAATCAATCTCTTTAGGAAAGGATTTCAAATTCAATTTAATTGGAATTTGAAATTTGAATTTTTTCCAAAGTTAAGATGATATAAATTAGGAAAGTATTTAATTCTTTCCCACATGAGAGGTTTTATTTTGGAAAGCATCGAGGAGGTGGGAGCTTGGAGGGGCCGGCGGCACCAAGGGGAATTGGGAAAATTTTTATGGAAGCCTTTAATGCTTCCTTGAGTTAAGGAATTAAATTTGGCAAGAGATATTTCATTCCAAATTAATTTAAAACTCAAAGAGGAAGGGATTTGAAAACTTTCCTAAAATAGGATTGGTATTTTAGGTAACTTTTCAAATTTAAATAAATTTGAATTTATAAAGTAGTTGAGTTGCCTAAATTATTCAAACCCAATTAGGAAAAGGGTAATTGCAAGCAATGATGGAGGGAAAACTCAAAGGGGAAGGGGCGGCGGCTTGGGCTAGGGTTTGGTTGGGTGAAGGTCTGGCTGGTGGGGCGGGAGTTTCGGTAAGTGGGCCAGTGGTTGCGGTGGGGGAATTTGGCCGGCGTTGAGATGGAGTGTGGCTAGGGAATCCGGCGGCTAAGAGGAAAGGGAATTGGATGGGGATGTTGGTGGCTTAATGGGTAAGGAGGAAGGGAAAAGAAAAGGAATGAAAGAAAGGTAAAGGAAGAAGAATCACGAACCCGGCCGTCTCTAAGGTTGGTGGGTGATCCGATTTTCCTCCATAGGGATTTCTCCAAAGCTCTCTCCTAGAATTCTCACCGCTCTCCAAAGAACACATGTGCAGGAATTTTCTTATAATTCATTAATTAACCCTCCAAGAATAAGACATGAAGGGAAATAACAAAGATACTATTGCCCCTAGGGCATACATAAGACAAAGCTCTCAAGTGAGGGTAGAAAGGGAAAAAGAACAATAACAATTCAAATACATAAAATAGATCAAAATAAATAGGCACGATCGTAGCCGTAGATCTCTGATGTCCTCATCATTCTTTTTTCTCTACTCTTTTATCAATAGATTTGAAGCAAATTTAATTTTTTATTCCATTAGCGATCTAATTTGCCACAATATTGCTGAAGAGCTTCTTGCCTGACTGTTTCTTTTAGGAAATTGAATTTATAAAGGAAGGAAGCTTCACTTTGAAAGAACTTGATGCTTTCGTGAGGGTGCTAAAGTTGGCTGGTATGAGAGATGTGAAAAAAGCAGTTAGAAAGAATCCTGGTGGATACAGAAGCCCACCTTCGCTGGAAAAGTCAGTGTCTGCTTTAGAGGCAATGGGGGTGAGAGTGTATGGGGTTGATGAAATCTTTGGAGTTCCCATGGAGGGCATGGTGTCGTGGGACAACATTGCAGGATATGATCAGCAAAAACGGTATGCATGTTACATGACTTGTAGAATCTCATTTTTCAAATACGTTGCAGAGTTTTCATGCATGTTTTAAATATAAAAAAAAGGAAGCTGCACCATCCATAAATAATTCATGGCGGCTTTTGTTTCTTTATGATAATTGATAATTGTAATTTTTGGACACTTGTATATATTGTATTGTGTATTCTTCTTCTGTCAGCTTTGCATTTCTCTTTTTTGTTTCACATCACATTCAGTTAATTTTGTTTTTTTTTGTGAACTGCAATTTTTGGACATATATCATGATGTAGTAAGGTTTAAGATAATGCAACTAAAATGATACAATATATATAGGCTACACAATGGAACTTAGGATTTATAATTAAAGAAATTAAAAGCATTAAAATTTGATTATTTTTAAGATGCAAATCACTTAATGAAGAAATTATATCCAAAATGATAATGCTACGAACCAATAATTTCAAAGAAATCCATGGGAAATTTAAAACATATAAAATCACAGGCAATCACAATTCATTTTCCACAATAAGGATTACAATAGTGTATGATTGCATAGGAAAGCCAACCCCATTTCGTGTGAACCTCCTTGATGTGTAAGTGTGGGGAGTCAAGAGTAATTTTCATCAAATAGATTAGGTTCTTTTTAACAAAATTTACCCTAATGTTTGATTTGGATTATTTAGATATGGTGTCAAGACTTCTTATGAGAGCAAGTCCTCCTGGTTATTATCCTTCCTACTCATGGGAGAGCACTCTTGATTAAGAATGCATATGAGGCTCAAGTTTAGGCTCAAATTTAATTCTTGGTGGTGCTTGGGAGGGTGGTAACAATCAGATCATGTGATTCTGACATTTCGGGCATACCAACTAATAATTTGCCAACATTAGAGAGCAAACTATAACGTCCAAGAAATATGATAAACAACTATTTTCTTCTCTCAGGTGTCCTAAGCAGATCAGAGTTTAAATTTATATGTGTCGGAGATGTAATAATGTTGATTGGTTTATTGCTTGAGGGTTGTCTGAAGCAGTTTCACTTCGTAGTTCAAAGGCAAAAAGCATGGTAGCTTGGCATTCAAAGGGATTGGACATGATCTATAAGAGCTCAGAAGCACGATATAACCATCAGTTATTCACTGGTTTCAACTTGATTCAAGGAAGCTTGTCAAGACCTGAGAGATTTTTAGTTTGTGTGATTTTACCTTATGAATTTAATTTTGATTGGTGGATTTGATAGTGTAGAAGTTAGCTTTATTAATTAGGGTTGAAAGGTAGCTTACGTCTATTAGAAGGCACAAATTAATTAGATAAGTACTTAAATTAATTGGAAGGCCCACTCGAGGGACTTACAACCTCGATGATGCAAAAAGTCTAGTAATGGGTTGGCTACGTTACCCTCATAGATAAGTGGCTCGATTTATTAGATTGATTTCATGGTTCTTTGTTGATGTATGTCAGCTTTGCTAGCTGGGTTGGAGTCTACATCCCCCCAAATTATTTAGGATGGAGCTTACATTACTTGGAAGGCCTGTATCTTGATTTAACAAGTTTATGAGCTTTGTGCTGGTTTCATTACATGATTGTGACTTAAATTCATTGGAAGGCTCGTCATACATTATTTAGGTTTTGGCTTTTGTTTGGATTTGCAATTTTTGTTGATTTAAAATATGAGTCTTATTGCTCTAAAGATTGAGGCTTACAGTCTTGGCCGCAATGGAACTTATGACTCAAATATTGGAATCAATTCAGTGACGGGTATTACGATTTCTCCTTATCAGCAATCCAATTCGATTGTTGGAATTTAATTTTTTGGTGTAATGCATATTTTAACATGCCTGTTGGGATGATTCACTAAGACCCTAATGTCAAGTGGGAGTCAATAAGGTCAAACTTGAGTTTTCGACCCAATAATCTGATTAATTGGGCTAACATTATATATATTTGAATTAAGGCACAAGGGCTTTATTGTGATTTGGTCCTTGGAAGTGTATTGTTGTTATTTTATCCTCATAGAGGCATTTTTATCATTTGGGTCACCTAATATCTTATTGAAACTCTCGACTGATGTGAAACTACAAGGAGTTAGTGAGAAATTAATAATAACAATTGTTAAAAGCTTTCAAATACAAATTTATCATTCACAACAAAGAAAGATTCTAGGAATTCATAGTTTTCAACTTGCTTAGGCAAAGAAGGGCACATAGATTAACAAGACAATTCAATCAAACTCCAAAGATAAGAGTAAAGTTATGTAGTCCAAAGATTAACAAGACAATTCAAAGGTGTTCCTCAATTGACGGTGCCAACGTGAAGATGACACATTTAATGTAGCTTTCCATGGAGTCGTCAATGTCCATATTTAAATTGAAGAAGGGGGATTGAAGAATGTCCGTCCTTCCTTGATTATCATACATGAGCTCATGATTGTTTTCCGGATCGGCCATGCATAGGGGCGACGTCGGCTTGAAAATAAACCATGTATGTGAGGGAGGATGAATGTGGGAGAAATTGAGAGGGGAGGGGGGTTTCGGCTAGGTCTAGGTTTAGGGGTGGAGGGAAAACTTTACAAGAAAATCTGAAATTAATTCTATAATTTTCTTTAAGAGGAGAGGGAGGAGAGAATTTGAATTTCAAATCTCTCAATGGGGGTTATAGGAGCCGGCGGCAAGGGGGGGGGGGGCTGTTTTAATGGGTGTTAGGATTTAAATAGGAGATAGAAAGGCTTGGTTAGGGGGGCCGGCCATGTGGAGAGTGGAGAGATGTGTTTTGTTTTAAGTATGTGGGCCCCAAGGAGTAAATAGAGATTGAAATCAAATCTGAATTTAAATTCAGATTTAATTAAAATTGGGAGGTTTCCTAGTTTAGTTTTGGATAATAGGGAAGTATTTGAATTCAAATAATTGATTGAATTCCCAATAGGAAACTTTCCTATTGACTATGACTTATTTTAGGAAAGTGAATGAAGGCAATAGGGAGATTTGAATTTCAGATTTTGAGGAGCAAGGGTGGCCGGTGGCTATAGCTTGGGCAAGGGAAGGGCGGTGGGGATGTAGGCCGGCGGTTGCGTGGGTGTAGTGGCCGGCGGTTTGGGCCGGCCAAAGAAGCCGGCGGGTTGGGGGTTGGGGTTCGGTTCCGGAAATCACAAGGGTGGTGGGGAGGGAGGCCGGCGGGTGGATGGGTTGGAAGAGGAGGTTGGATGTAGGGGAAAGGAAAGAACTCGCTAAACCTCGAACTTCGGAATCCTCCAAAGGTTGACGGGTATTACTCTCACCCTCACCTAGGGTTTCTCCTGTCAAGAACTCACAAAGAGATCAATCAAGAAAATTGGAATTCTCATTCATAATAATCATCATCCCTTTTACAATAGAAGATGCCACAATATATAGGCCTAGAGAAATAAAATAACAATGACTCAAATGCCCCTTGGGCTACAACTCAAGCAAAGTCAAATGAAAGGGTACAATCGTAAATAACAAATAATACATAAAAGCATAAAAAATAAAGATTGTGAATCGTAGCCATCAATCTACGATTCCTACGCTGATAAATTCGTTGATAACGTCTGTCGTTGTCCTCATCATTGACATATATTATGAACAATGTGGAATTTTTAAATATAGTAGCAATATTTTTATTATGTTATAGATATTGATGTTTGCACATTATTTATAAATATTTGGGCTTTTATTGATGCATTTTGATGCTTTTGGCTTAGGCAGATGGAGGTCCACATGCCTTATATGATGAAACGGCATGTCAATAAAGTCCTTTTCTACAGTGCACATTTCAATTTTGTTGTGGTTAAATCCTATGGTTTGTAGAACGTTTGATTCTTTTTTTTAAAAAAATATTATTTTAACTTATTAAAGAGTTTACTGGACTATATTTTTTAAATAGAATTTTTTATGAATTGGTAAAATGTTAGCTGACAACCAAAGTCATTGATGTGGTTATAGATTTAATAAATTTTCAGTGGCAACTTCTTACAATGGTATGTAGTTTTCACGCAAAAAGTTCACAGTTTTTGACATGGTGAGCTTTATAGCATCATTTTCTTCGCTTCACATGATTACATCTCGATGCAAGTCGTGGAACATACAGAGACATCCGCACTGCTTCCTTCATTCTTGCCAGCTTTCTTCCTTCTTGCTAGTGATTCAAGTAGTGAAGAGGATGCTCTACCTCTTTTGGTGGACAAACATAGCTATTAAATTGACGGGGACATCAGATCGTGGAAAGTCTATCAGAGATTTGGCTGTCGATCTACGACCACGATTGAGTCGTTGTATTTCTGAGTTGTATTATGTATTTTTTTTATTTATGATGTCATATTGTATTTACTTTATTAGTTTTCCGTTTTTACCCCTTACTTAAGGGAGGTCGTAGGTAAGCCCAGTGGGCATTGTCGTCTTTTATTTTCTTGAGTCTTTGCACGAGGCTATATATAACCCAATTATTGTCTTTTGTTGGCAATGAATGATCAATTTAAAATTGTGCTTCTCTTTATTGGAATTCTCATGAGAGCTTGAGAGATTGGAGTGAGATCCCTTGGAGAGGGAGAATTTTGCATCACCCGCCAACCTAGACGACTCGGGTTCATGGTTCTACCTTCCATCTCTTTCCTTCCTCCTCCCTCTACCACCACTGGCCTTACCTACCCTCCATCACCTTTGTCCAAACTTTCACCATCGCCAAACCCCTTCTTCACACCCACCGAGCTCCCCAAACCACCTCCACCTAGCCGCCGACTCCCTTGCCCGAACCCCAAGCAAGCCGCCGACCCCTAGCCCCTTGCCCTCCCTTGAATTTATTTCCTATTCTAGATTGCCATAATTTGGACAGAATTTGAATTCAAATTCACCCTATTTGAAATTTAAAATCTTTCCTAAATTATAAAATCTATTTTTGAAAAGTTTCCTATTTTAATCCCCAATTAAATCCTAATCAATTTTAAATTAAATTTGATTGAAGCCTCTTGCCTTGTGAGAACCTCTCTTATTTGG